ACTCGAGACAGATGCTAGCAATTTAGGTTTGGGTGCAGTCCTTTATCAAAAGCAAGCGGGTCAGCAGAAGGTGATAGCTTTTGCAAGTCGCAGACTTAGGGGTGCTGAGAAGAATGATCAGAACTATAGCAGTATGAAGCTTGAACTCCTAGCACTGAAGTGGGCAGTTACTGAAAAGTTTAGGAGTTACCTACTTGGGTCCAAGTTTACGGTCATCACAGATAATAACCCTCTGTGTCACCTCCAGACTGCCCAATTAGGAGCAACTCAACAGCGTTGGGTGGCTCAGCTAGCAATATTTAATTTTGATGTAAAGTATCGTCCTGGCAGATGTAATACTGTAGCTGATGCCCTTTCTCATCGACCGGTGCATGATGAGCCAGAACCGACCAGTGAAGATGCAGAGTTTGATGGTAGTGTAGCAATTTGTAGCTTACTGAGGACAGGGATGGTTTTAGAACCAGAGTTAGTTTTGGCAGGAGTTGAGCTCCATATGATCAGGCAGCTGCAAGCGTCAGAGGCCAATGAGACAGTGAATGATGAAACTGTTCAAGATAATACCCCCACACTACCTGGATATTCTAAGGAAATAATTCAAGGATTTCAGGCCGCCGACCCGACTCTCAAGGTGGTGCGAGACTTTTGGAGCCATCAGAGAAAACCATCGTATCAAGAAAGAATGGGCCTTTCAAAATCAGTGCGCGCTCTGCTAAAACAGTGGCCCCGTCTCAGAGAGATGGACTCTTGTACCAAGTGATTAACGATGTTCACCTGGGAGAATGCTACCAGTTGTTACTACCTGCCTGTCTCAAAGACAAAGTTCTCAGAAGCGTCCATGACCAGATGGGACATCAGGGTATAGAGCGAACACTAGGTCTGCTGCGGCAAAGGTGTTTCTGGGGAGGCATGCATGAAGAAGTTGAGCAGTGGATAAAGAAGTGCCAGAGATGTGTTTTGACCAAAATGCCACAGCCAAAGATTTGGGCCCCTCAAACTCCATTTTTGGTGACTCGGCCACTTGAGGTCGTTGCTGTGGATTTCACAACACTGGAACGTGCAACAGATGGACGTGAAAGTGTGCTCGTGATAACGGATGTTTTCACGAAGTTCAGTCAGGCAATTGCGGTTCGAGATCAAAAGGCCGATACTACTGCGAAAGTCATCCTGAGAGAGTGGTTTCTCAAGTATGGTGTGCCAGAACGCCTGCACTCGGACCAAGGCCGGAATTTTGAAAGTGTTGTCGTGGCTGAGTTGTGCAAGCTCTATGGAGTTAAGAAGACCTGAACCACACCCTATCATCCCCAAGGCAACCCACAGTGCGAAAGGTTCAACCGAACCCTACATGACCTTCTACGTACGCTTCCCCCTGAAAAGAAACGCCGTTGGCCGGAACACCTGTCCGAATTGGTCTATGCATATAATGTGACTCCACACTCAACAACGGGACATTCACCCCATTACTTGTTGTTTGGCGTCCATCCTCACCTTCCAGTGGATGCCTTGCTTGGCCAAGAGCAACAAGTCAAAGATGATACGGTCGACTGGCTTGCAGTACACCAGGAACGACTCAGAGATGCACATGCCCGGGCAAGAGAGATAACTGAGAGCAAAGCGGCTGAGAGAATGGCCCAACAACAGGAGAAAGTCTACTGTCCACCTGTTGATGTGGGTGAACTCGTGTACGAAGAAATAAGATACAGGATGCATGGGCCTCGACCATGTACAAGGTTGTGGAGGTACAAGGAACCACCTACACACTAGAGACCCTAGATGGAGGACTGACAAAGAGGGTGCATAGGTCCAACCTCCGTCCATGTATGGGACCAGCGCCGGAACAGAGAAGTCCTTGCCAAGCACCTGTTAAAGAACCTATCCCAGCTCCACCATCAGAAGACGAGGCAGATGATATCGAGTTCGTATTGGTTGAAGAATTCAATGAACCACTTGCTGAAGAGGAAGATTCCCAAGAGCCAGATGATACTGTTTCTGACACTGGTTCCGAGGAGGAAGAAACTTTGGAAACAGACTCGCGACAAAACCTTAAGGCCACATCAGATGTTAGCATGGCCGAAGAGAGCCCAAGACCTGTGCCTACACGGAGGGGAGAAAGAAAAGTGACTATTCGTGTAGGTGTACCCAGTTCTGCCCTACGCAAGAGTCAGAGGAAAACTGCAGGGAAACACAAGAATCCGTTCAATCTCCCTGTGTCAGCATGCAATGCCACCTCGTTAAGTCCGGATGTACTCTCTCAGGTTTTAGCAGGGGTGGTCCACTATACCTCGGCCTTCACCAGACGGGTGGTAGAGTGATAAGTCACCGAGGACGTTGACTTGTAGCAGGGGAGAATGTAACCAGGTGAACCTTACTTAGACAATTGTAGTGAAGGCTGCCTTGGTTAAAAAATGTAGCACTGTCACTTTAAGAGCCACGCTAGATCAAAACACGTGGGAACATATAGAGCGCGTGACAATCAGACCAGGAAGTAAAGTGAGGATGACATGCACTTGAAGGAGAGTCGTCGCTGAACTGTGCCAACTGGTTGTCCCAATTTGATACACCCAACTCGTCGTTGTAACCCTGGCGATATTCAGGTAATTGGTAACTAGTTTACCATGACGCATGTTAGGTGTTAATTTTGGACCGATGATTAATTATTTGAATGGTATTTGTAGAGCACAATATCGTGGTTTGGAGCTTGAAATCTACCACTAGCGAGTCGTGTGAACAACTGTACAGCGTAAGTGTTCGCAACGTTACAAGATGTAAATATGTTTTTTGGACTGTGAAATTATATGAACTGTTATCTCTTCTGTAGAGGGGAGATCATTTGTGTTTTTCCACGTTCTTTGTATGCATCCAACACACCGGGAAGTCTCGAGTAAGTGTGTCTGCATCTTAAAACATTGGGTTGCAATGATTATTTGTTCTGCACTTAAGTTTAATGAAGTATTGTGGTTTGGAAATATTGTATTTTTATTAATGTGTTTTTATTTCTGTTTCTCTATTAAGCAAGCCACTGCTGTTGTCTGTTTTTCATTGTTCAGTCGGGAATAAAGCCCACATAAAATTTATTTTGTGTTCAGTCTAGTCTTTCCAAAGACCCGGCTACATTTCTGAATAAGAATGTCCTTCTCTCTTTTGGAGATCACAGTGACTCTATGGGCAGGGTATGCTTTCATCAAGAATGTGTCTTTTCGATAAGAATGGAATGTACAGGGCTTGCCTCATCATGGTCTTTAGATGTATGCCTCTGCTGACAATTAGACAAACTCCGGCATCGCTGTAGTGCACTGCCACTCCCTTGCACCTTTTGCCATCAGCCAGCTCCATGCAGCCGGGAAATTCTCTTCAAACCTTTTGAACTCAGCAGAATCTGATCTGTGACAGTAGGCCAGGTAGCCCTGCAATTGACCATCATGCCGTTCACGTTTACACCTGTTACTCACTCACTCACAAAGTGTACTCTTTATTTTCTGTTTCGGCAGGGACTCTGAGGCTTTGTTGGGTTTTATTATGGTACTGCCTGAGGGATCAAATGTCACGTGCATTCAATGTTGGTTTTAAGCCTAGCCGCTCACATGCAGAGATTTCTCCAATTCTCTTTTGATACATTTTTGATTGTATTATGGACCGTAGAAAATGAAATCCTTCAATTATTTGAGATTGTACGTTGAGAAATGTTCTTACATTGTTGGACTTTTTGCTCACGCAGTTGATCACAAAGTGGCCAAACCCACCCAATTCTTGATTCTAAACAAGTGATCCTACGGGGATTCTCTTGACACACAGTTTTTCGAGCATTGCCCAACTTTTCTATTTCATTTATTTATTTTTTGTTACGCCTGTCCAGCATTTCTGGGCGTGTTGAGCATCATCCCTTCACTGGCTCCCGATACATTTTAGCGTTCTTTTTAAGAACCTATAATTTGTTTTTCAAATCCTCGCTCCACCTTACCTCTCTGAGCTCCACCTTACCCTCCACCCCTACACACCTGCCCAGTGCCCCAGATCTGCGGACCAGACACTATTAGAGGTACCAAGAACTAATCGGAAGCTCAGAGGGGACCGAGCCTTTTCCGTTGCTGGTCCCTCTCTTTGGAATGACCTCCCACTGAACATTCGCCAAGCCACCTCGCTGCCCATCTTTAAAACCCGTCTCAAAATTCATTTCTATTCTTTGGCTTTTGACTCAGCATGTCTCAGGCTTCATTTTTAGTTTTACTGGTTTTGTGCTTTTACTGTCTTTGTTATTGATTTATTGTTTATTATTGTATATATGATATTTGCTCCATGTACAGCACTTTGTATACAGCGGTGGTTGTTTTAAAGTGCTCTATAAATACAGTTGAGTTGAGAATCTAATGCAAAATAAGTAAATCTTCACTTTTCAGGAGGCCCAAAAATTTTATGTTTGTTCAACCATTAAAATTGCATTGTCAGAGGTTTTCAACATTAGTTAGTACAGTGGTTCTTAACCTTGTCAGAGGTACCGAACCAAACCAGTTCATATGCAGATTCACCGATCCCTTCATTTGTGAAAAACAAAAATATGACTTTTTACAAATTCAAGACAAAAAAACGCATTTATTAAAAAGAGTAAAAAAGTACATAAAATTTCAAGACATAAGTATAAGTTTTTAAATTTTACAACGTACTATCACGACAGTCACACGTTGACTACTGAGCCAACTACATTTCCCGCAGCACTGATTGGACAAGCAATGTAATGTGATCATCTGCAGCCGGTGATGGCCAAGCGGGCGTGTTATAACTAATTGACATGTTGAGTCCGGTGTGTCTTAACCTCCATGGCAGAGGCTCCGTCGAACCCCTGAGACCGATTCACCGAACCCATAGGGTTCGATCGAACCCAGGTTAAGAACCATTCAGTTAGTAATTTGTAAAAGCATGCAAGCATGTGGACTGAGCAAGAGTCTAAATTGTTGAAAAAATGTTGAATTTACCAAACTGTGACATTGGAGATTTTTATGTCTCTTTACCTTGGCGGCTGTTGACATCTGACTGGCAGACGCTGTGGAAAGATGAGGAGGGAGGCTTCCTTAATGTAAAGGGAAGCGGCTGCCTTTTTGATTTATCTTCACCGGGCCAGAAACTTCCCACTGCGAAAATTCCCTGAATACAAATTTACACTGTCAGTCTGATGACACGTGAGACACACAAATGCATTAGGCTTGGATGAATGAACTGCATTATACTCAGCAATTTTTTGTAATACATTGCAGGCATAAAATTCATAATGACATCATAGTTTTCAAAAAACATCCATCCATCCATTTTCTGATCTGCTTATTTTCACGAAGGTCGCGGGCATGTTAGAGCCTATCCCAGCTGTCTTGGGACAGTAGGTGGCGACACCCTGAACTGGTTGCCAGCCACTTGCAGGGCACACAGAAAAGAACAATCATCCACGCTCACAATTACACCTACGGACAATTCCGAGTGTTCAATCAGCCTCCTATGCATGTTTCTGGAATGTGGGAGGAAACTGGAGTACCCGGAGAAAACCCACACAGGCACGGGGGGAACATGCAAAGTCCACACAGGAAGGCTAGAGCCGAAACCAAACCCTGCACTGTGATGGAGGTGCTAAACGGTCGACCAGTGTTCACCGAAACACAGACCTACATTTACAAATTAAATGAATTGGAAATAAATCTTTTTTTTTCCAACAGTCTTTTGTCTTCATTTCATTGTGTATGTCTTGGCCGCACGGCTTCCAGTGCTTTTTCTGAAGGTGTTGGACGAAATAATATGTGTATGGCAACACATGAAATCTGATTGGACAAAATCTAACATTACCCACAAAGGACTGGAAGCCATGCGGCCCCCTCCATAATTTAAATTGCCCCTCCCTGGTCTAATATTTCCACATTCAAATCAATGAAAAAAATGATTTGTTGACTGCATTACCAGGTAGGCAGCAACAGCTATCCCCAAGATCCATCCACAGTAGACATCAACAGGATGGTTTCGGAATTGTATGATCCTGGTGAATCCAGCTAGGATGGCCAACATGATGAAAGAAAACACCAAGAGAGGCTTCAGCAGCTTTGTGGAGTCTGTCAGCACTGCATTTAAATACATCTGAAACACAATTCAAAGGCTTTTAAACAATCCAATCATGCATCATATGATGAAATTTATGAGATCCATTTCATGAATGAAAAACAAATTATTTTTTACTATTACTACAGGCAAGTGCCATCAAAACAGAGATAGAATAGGTTACCTAGCACGTTACATTTCTGTGTGTGTGCATGCGTGCATGCGCATGTGTGTGTGTGTGTGTGTGTGTGTGTGTGTGTGTGTGTGTGTGTGTGTGTGTGTGTGTGTGTGTGTGTGTGTGTGTGTGGACTTACGGAGACATAGACAGCTGCAAAGCCAGCCAAAGAAGCATGCTGGGATGGGAAAGACTTCCTTTAAAATAAGAAGAATTAGTTATGTGTGGCATCATCCGGCAAAAAGATGATCAGTATACTCCTAAATATTCCCCTGTGGGTTGAACAAAAGGAGCTCCAATGAAAACAGAACAATTCCATCTTTAGTAGTTGGTAACATATGTATGACCACAATCTTTATTTTAACTACATACAATGTATAGAATTCAATGTGTGTGTGTGTGTGTGTGTGTGTGTGTGTGTGTGTGTGTGTGTGTGTGTGTGTGTCTGTGTGTGTGTGTGGGGGGGGGGTTGGGTGTGGGTGTTGAGGGGGCGTTGGGTGAGCTGTTGACGCAATATTTGGAGTTGCTCATGGCAGTATTGATTTGGTTGAACTTCACCAGCAGTAGCTAGTGCAGGCACCATCTGCCTTGGCTACACTTTCATTAATGTACTAAGATGCACAGATGATTGTGTATTGTTTAGAAAATGGAAAAACACACTGTTGGTGTGTGATGCATGGATATGTTGTATACACAGATGGGCTCAGAGGTTGCAATTAATGAGAATTACTTTTCAGAAGGTGGTGTCCAGAGATGCTTTCCTGATAAAGTAGGGCACTCTGTGCAATGGCGATGACATGGGTATGGACATCAATTCAAAGCAAATCGAAACTCCAAAATGACTTTCTGGCAACATTCCTCACTCGGAGGCATTTTTATCCAGTCCATGGCGAGCATCTATGGTTCAGAGAGGTCTCCAATAGGAATTGTTGGACCAGTTTTGCTGTCAGTCATGCCTTTAGATCATCTACGCTGATTTATCCAGGCTGTTTGTGTGGTGAATTTCTTTTGATGTGGATTCATCCATCCTCATGATCTCCAAATGTCACCAAGAAAAGGAGGGAAAGAAATGATGGAACTTATTGACACACCCTCCTTTAGTTGATCAATTTGACTTGTGTTATGTTTTTGTTTAGATTACATTTGGTTTTGTGCCCTTTTTGTCTTCAACTGTTCTCGTCATCCGGGCTTCTTGTGTTAACCAGGTAGCTCCCTCAACCCTTTGTGTCTTGTCCAGATGTTTCTCGTTGTCTCATCACTTTGCTTGTGTTTAGTTCCCTGGGTTGTGTCAGTCTTTGTTGGATCATTGTGTGTCTGTGTACTCCTGTCATGTTTTGTTTCTGTCAGTTTTTTTTTGTTTGTTTGTTTTTTTGCTACTTTGGTTTCCTGTGGTTTTCAGGACTTTGTTTCTGTACTTGAGTCAGTTTTTCCATTGTACTCCTGCAAGTGTTTTTGTGAATATATTTAGCTCAGTCCACCCTGTTCCTCCTGCCTCCCTGCTTTTTGGGGTCCTCTACCTACCATCATGCAAAAGTTGACAGAATGATCCAACTAAGACTGGACCCCCAGGACCAAAGGCCTGGTCCCACAGCCACTTGTCCCCGTTCCGGCGGCGCAAGTGTTGCGGCTGCCACCCCCGTTCCGGCGGCGTGAGTGATGCAGCTTCCACCTCCGTTACGGTGGCGCAAGTGATGCGGCTGCAACCCCCTTTCCAGCAGTGCAAGTGATGTGGGTGCCACCCTCGTTTCCAGAGGCGCAAGTGATGCGGCTGCCACCCTTTTCCGGTGGTGCAAGTGATGCGTCTGCCACCACCGTTTCCGATGATGCAAGTGTTGCGGCTGCCACCCCATTTCCGGTGACGCAAGTGTTGCCGCTGCCACCCCATTTCCGAAGTGTTGCCGCTGCCACCCCGTTTCAGAAGTGTGGCTGCCACCCCGTTTCCAGTGACGCAAGTGTTGCAGCTGCCACCTCGTTTCCAATGGCGCAAGTGTTGCAGCTGCCACCCCTGTTTCCGGTGGCGCAAGTGCTGTGGCTGCCACCACCTTTCCAGCGGCGCACGTGATGTGGCTGCCACCCCCGTTTTCAGTGGCGCAAGTGATGCAGCTGCCACCCCTGTTTCCGGTGACACAAGTAATGCAGCTGCCACCCCGTTTCCGGTGACGCAAATGTTGCGGCTGCCACCCCGTTTCCAAAGTGTTGCAGCTGCCACCACGTTTCCGGCGGTGCAAGTGTTGCGACTGCCACTCTCATTTCTGGTGACACAAGTGTTGAGGCTGCCACCCCGTTTCTGGCGGCGCAAGAGTTGCAGCTGCCACACCCGTTTCGGCGGCGCAAGTGTTGCGGCTTCCACCCCGACTCCGGCGGCGCAAGTGCTTCCAATGGTGACTTTGGGACATCTGGGAGCCGTTCCTTGAGGGAAGGGTACTGTTTGTTTTTGTTTGGATTACATTTGGTTTTGTTCCCTCGTGCCCTTTTTGTCTTCACCTGTTCTCGTCATCCGGGTCTCTTGTGTTAACCAGTCAGCTCCTGCAACCTTTTGGGTCATGTCCAGGTGTTTCTCGTTGTCTCGTCACTTTGCTTGTATATAGTTCCCTGGGTTCTGTAAGTCTTTGTTGGATCATTGTGTGTCATGTACTCATGTCATGTTTTGTTTCTGTCATAGGTTTTTTTTTTTTTTTTTTTTTTTTTTTTTGCTTCTTTGGTTTCCTGTGGTTTCCAGGACTTTGTTTGTATACTTCAGTTAGTTTTTCAAGTGTACTCCTAGAAGTACTTTTTGTTAATATATTTTGCTCGGTCCACCCTGCTCCTTGACCTACCATCACGCAAAACTTGACACCTGGTTCGTTTTGGTTTCTATACAAAGCTGACCGACTGATACATCTTCTGTATAAATGACATTGCCAAAGATCCATGAGCTTCTGGGTGCAGTATCATCCACAATCAAAGCGACAGTGGTGTGAAAAATTGTTTTCCCGGTCCTTAAGTATTTCCCTTCATTAAACAAATCTAAACAGGAGTCAAGGACAACACATTTAAACACAAATACATTTTTTTATTAATTTCTTTTTAAATTTTTTTTTTATGATTAAGTGAAAAAGAAAGTCCAAACATGGATCTGTGGGAATAGGTTTTTGGCCCCTCAACCTAATAACTGGTTGGGCAGCCCTCAGCAGCATCAACCAAAGTCAAACGCCTCATTCTATGTTGTCAAGAAAGTTTGACCCACCCATCTTTGCCTTTTAAGTGTTAGGCCACAGCAATTCAGATTCAAGTTTGGACCTGGACTAGACCACTTCAACACCATCCATCCATCCATTTTCCGATACGCTTTATCCTCATAAGGGTCGCGGTGGGTGCTGGAGCCTTCCTGTGTGGAATTTGCATGTTCTCCCCATGCCTTTGTGGGTTTTCTCCGGGTACTCTTGTTTCCTCCCACATTCCAAAAATATGCATGGCAGGCTGATTGAACACTCTGAATTGTCCCGAGATGTGATGGTGAGCGTGGATGATTGTTCGTCTATGTGTGCCCTGCGATTGGCTGGCAACCAGTTCGGATGTCCCCTGCCTAATGCCCAAAGACAGCTGGGATGGGCTCCAGCACACATTAGAAAATGGATGGATGGATGGAAGTATTTTAAAATGAACTCTTAAATATACTGGGAGCCAGTGAAGTGAAGCCAGAATTGGGGTGATGTGCTCTCACTTTCGAGCTCTAATTAGGAGGTGAGCAGCAGCATTATGGACCAACTGGAAACACTTGAGGGAGGAGTGTCTGATTCCAAAATAAAGTGCATTAAAGTACGGAAATCTAGCCAAAATCTAACAAAGGCATTGATTACTATTTCTAAGTGCTGTTGAGAAAGAAAGGGATTTGCCTTAGCCAGCTGCCTAAAATGAAAGGGTGGGATGTACAAGGGCCACTGGGACCAAACACCATTACTTCTGTTTTCTTTTCGTTTAAATTTAAGACATTCAATGATATCCACACTTTGATTTCCTCTCAGCAAGACAAAAGGGGTCTTAAGGAGAAAAATCCTTATTGCTCTGCTTGACAGCTGAGCAAAATGAGTCATCTGCGCGGCAGTGGAAGGAAAGATCATGTTTTCTTAGGATGGAACGGAAGAGCAGCAAAAACAGTGAAAACAGCAGGGGTCCCAAAATTGAACCCTGTGCAACACCACACAACAGATGGGCAGAGTAGGACTCAGAGCAATCTAGGTTAACATAAAAAGTCCTGTCAGCCAAATAGGATCTAAACTACTCTATAGCGCTCCCACTAATGCTCACCTGGTGCTGCAAACGAGCCAGCAGTAGACTGTGGTCCACTGTATCAAATGCAGCAGTTAGATCCAACAAAACAAGACACACATAATCTACAGAGTCATTTTCCCAGAGGATGTCATTTAAAATTCTCAACAGTACTGATTGTGCTATGCATCATCGACCAAAAGCAAGGAGAAAATCAAAAGTATGTGCTTGTTTGTCAGTGGGGTCGGACACGCATGGCACTAAATTAAAAGCATTAATAAGTCCTAAAAAGTCCATTGCCAAAGGTTTTTCAGGATAGCACACATGAATATTAAAATCCCCTATCAAGTCAAGTACAACTTGACCCTATAGACAGGATATGATCATATATCATGATTTCGGTAAGATTTGAAAAGTCATTCAGAAACTGTAAATGAAAAGCCCTGCCAACTCAACATGGCGAATATTCACTGTTTATATTAAAAATAGTTTTGAAAAATAGTCCCTGTTCCTCTACCATGACCTAAAGTTTTTGGAGCGTCCGAGTAAAAACATGCAGGCGGTAATAGTTTGAGGATTGCACTGCACTCACGGCACCATTCCAAGTCTCAGTCAGGCAGAGGAAATCCAGGTCACTGGAAAGAAATACCCTCAGAATAAACATTTTGTTGGTCAACGACCAGGCATTTATCCATCCTATCCTGCTGTGAGCAGCAGGAGTGCGCAACTTCTTCAATCAGTGAGCTCTGGGAAGCTCCCTCAGTAGCTGGAGATCCACGCAGCGCCGAAGCTCCTTGGGAGAGCTGACAATCGGAAGCAAACAGGAGTTGACAGGGTCGCGAACACACCAAAACGAGTATCGCTGTGCGTTCGGGAACGAGCAGGGAACGAAGTGTGTCTTATAAATTAGTTCCCTTTTTACCTTCTCTAACTGGCCACCGCGTTTGTCGCGACGGGATCGCATGGACATGGAAGAATTACCCCGGCATGTATTTTATCACCAGGAATGTTCGTCAGCAACCCCCATCTATGAATATTTGCTGGACAAATAGTTCAAGCATGACATAGACTGTATGTCTGAAAATGTCTGTTAAACCTGAGCAGGAATAGGAATCACCACATCCCCTTTATCCCACCCCCCTTAAGCCCCTTGGTATACTTTGTGAACCCAGCTGTCTTAAATTTGAATTCTGAGCATTTTGAAACTGTAATCTATGCCTTCATCACAAAATGTCAATCCGTCCATTTTCAACACCATTTATTTTGAACAGGGTCACGGGTGGGTGGTGGAGCCTATCCCGCTGACTTCGGGCGGAAGGCGGACTACACCCTGAACTGGTCGTCAGCCAGTCAGGGCACATATAGAGACGAACAACCATACACACCCACAGTCGCACCGTCACTGAGTGGGAACCGAACCCAGCGCCGCCCACACACAAGTCAGGCAAGTGTATCACTACACCATCAGCGACTATCACATAATGTAATGTGCTTTACTTAAGAGTAAGCCAGTCTCCAGTTGGTTTAAAATCTTGCTGCTCACCTCATAAATGGAACACAAAAAAGCATATAAATCATATTATGGCCACCTAGCATTGGATAGACGTTTCCTTTAGAGTCATTTTAAGATTCTATTTATTGTTAAGCGCTTTGTTACAGCTGCAGCTGTTGTGAAAGCGCTATATAAATCAGGATGTATTGTATTGTATTGTATTGTATTGTATTGTATTGCCTTTCTAGTTCTAAATGTGTTTTGTCCGGCCTTATGTTACTGAGCATCTTCAGCCATATGCCCCTGCCCAAGGCCTCAGGTCAGCTGGCCAACAGCTGCTGCAGGTTCGAAAAAAGTGGAAGTTTCGAGAACCAAGCTTAGAGAATAAAGCATTTTTTTATGTTTTTATTCCGAACTATGGAACAATCTCCCATTGTACATCAGACAAGCAACCGCTCTATCCATTTTAGAAACCTGCTCAAAACCCATTTTTATTCCTTGGCTTTTAACAGAGCTTGAGATTCGGACCTTTTTTATTTATGTTATGTTAAATTATCTTATGTTGACATTGTAGTTATGTACAATACTTTGTTTGCAGCTATGATTGCACTATCAGTTGTAGATATCAGTTTCTTTGGACTCATCCTGATGGCTAATTCACAGCAAAAAACAAAAATACCTGTAATACATAAAGCATGGAGGGAACAAGGTTTATTATTTGTGAGAACACGATTAAGCATTCTGCCTGGAAGCTGTGACTGTTCTTGACTGAAGCATAATTTGTGAACCGAAGCGGCTTTGTTCGAAAGTCTTGTTCATGAATCGGTTCGCTCGTGAACAGATGCATTTGTGAACTGAGTTTCCACTGTGCATTGTGTCCAGCATTGAAACAGTGGTGACAATACTCATGGAGGGCAATGTATACTGTTATTGTGTGTGCAATTTGTCAAAACAGAAAAGCAATGCATGAATTGAAAGTACAGTGATCCCTTGCTTTATCGCGGCTTCAGTACATCGCGTTTTTTTTTCCAAAGTTCCGTATTCAGAAAAAAATGCCGAATGAATCAGACGTTTTGTACATGCCTGTACTGTACGGTATATGCAACGGGCACTCATTCAAGGCGCATGATTGTGTCCCGGCATGACTTCGACCAATGACAGCACGAATGGATTCATCCCATTAGCTGATTGGCTGTGCATCTTCGCAGCCCCACCCAGCACCTTCCCTTGTGTCTTGTCACTCTGTTGACTGTCTGACATACTGTCTTTTAGTGTTGTGTTTGCTATGTGCAAGGCGGGGGTGGGGGTGAGGGGTGAGGAAGGGAGAAGGGTGGGGGGTTAATGGCCTTGTCCCACAGCAGCAGTACTTCCGTCTTCACCTCCTCCTCCTCAATACCGATTAATTGTCTTATCATAAACACATCGGTTGTACGGGGATAGCTGGCCAGGAGCTAGCCGGAGGCTAACGGCGGCTACACCGTAAGAGCATCAAGTGAGAGCCACTTCTACGCCACCAACACGAGTCTCTCAGAAGGCAAATGCTGATGAATGTTAATTATTGTATCAGGTTTTATCATGAAAGATTTCAGTAAATATTTGTACTGCTGTAGTCTTTGTAGTATAAATACTGTTTATATATTTTAAACATGCTGGTACCCATATACAAACATTCCTGGCGGGGGCAAACCCTACGGTTTTTCACTTATCGTGGCCGGCCGGTTCTGGTCCCTATTAACCACGATAAGTGAGGGATCACTGTAACACATATCCTCATGTACACATTCCATCCAAAAGACTGTATACAAATACTCTTCATCCAAGACAAAACAATATTTACCTCCCAGAAATGATTAGAATGATGTCTTGTCCGGAACAAATATCGTCCAGAATAAAAGCTTCATCACAAGTTGATATATTGATGTGAGTTAAATTGGGTTTGCACACATCCAGCCAGTAAGGTGTGTGCTGTCCAGTAGAGAGCTGAAAAATGTCAGTTATCAGTGCTGTCACACACAGGCCGAAGATATGGACACCTGCGAAAAAGCATGAGAATAATTGTATTTAATTGTAGATTATATCTGATTTTGTCTTGAAAATAGTTTTGAAAATGATATAACATCTTCAATTTATACACACAAAACAAAATGACAACCCATTTGAATGGTTTTGCACTTGCAACAAGAATTTTGATATCTGAAATACAATTGTAAAAAATGTACTTGCGCAAATCTGCATGAAACTCTGAATTTGTTGAAACAGATTCTCTTTCAGCATTTAGACAGTTGGAAACATTTCTGCTTGCTATTCATTCCAGAAATTATATTTTATGGAATCATTGGTTTGATAGAGTTTCCCTGTTCTCTCCGTGCCTGCGTGGGTTTTCTCCGGGTACTCCGGTTTCCTCCCACATTCCAAAAACATGCATGGCAGGTTAAGTGGTCTCTCTAAAAATATCTGTAGGTGTGATTGTGAGTGTGAATGTCTGTGTGTGGTGTACCCGCTAGAAGACAGCTGGTATAGGCTCCAGCATAACCGCTACCCTCGTGAGGATTAAACGGTTTCAAGAAATGGATCGATTAAGTTGACAGAATGTCTTAAATACCTTTTGTCCTCTTCTGTTCTCCCACTCCCATCTTCTGCCCCGTCACACTGCACATTTCACATATACCGGATTGTGTTGTGATCCACATCTCCACTGTTGTCTTTAAGACTGGTAAACACATTCACTCTTTGGGAATTTGTCAATTAACCTCAGCGTGGTAAGATCTGGCTATGTTTTTCTTAACTTTTCGTTAAGCTAATATGGGTTGCCTCCATCAGCCTTTTCCTGAATGATCTTCTGACTTATACACAGCTACCAGCCCTTTCGACCCTGCATTCTTCTCTTTGCATCCCTCAATTGTCATCTACCGAGTCAACAACGGCCTTCCTCCTTCTTTCCTTCTTTTCAGACTGCTGTTGGAGCAACATATCAATGATTCCCTGGCCTCAGTTATCATCCACAAATCAGCCCCTCAGCATTACGGCGGAGTAAACCAAGACACTCTCAAGAACTTCATTTTGTATACCTGGAAGAAATAACATCCCTCCATCCATTTTCAGATCTGCTTTATCCTCACGAGGGTTGCGGGGGACGCTGGAGCCTATCCCATCTGTCTTTGGGCAGTAGCAGTACCCTGAACTGGTTGCCAGCCAATCGCAGGGCACACAGATGAACAACTATCCGTGCTCACGCTCACACCTAGGGACAATTTGTTCCATGAACCTACCATGCATATTTTTGGAATGTGTGAGGAAACTGGAGTACCCGGAGAAAACCCACGCAGGCCCAGCGAGAACATGCAAACTCCACACAGGAAGGCCAGAGCCAGAATCGAACCCGGCACCGTGAAGCCAGCGTGCTAACCAGTCGCCCACTGTGCTGCCGCAAGAAATAACAATTTGCTCCCAATTAGATTTGAGAAATTCTGGATGTGCATGGTCAGACTCACATTTTTGTGCAACTTCCAAAAGTCTAAACTTTTAATGTCATGTTGTCTGTTTATTTCAAAATCGTTTTGGAGGTATATAAAGGCAAACACCCAAAATCCTTTACTCTTTTGAATCCAACTGTGTTTGCAGAGGCACCATGAGGGCCTGTGACTGAGAGGAGCCCGATAATATCATATTTTCAATTTGTGGCAATGAAGTGGGCAAGTATAGTGACAAAGATGAACATAAAACTTCACATGAGCAGGTGCTTCGAAAGGAATTTATACTGGCAATAGAGGACTCATGTACCAGTTACTGGTTGACAAAAGAGTAAGCCAGGACTGCAAGATATGACAGACCAGGCTTGATGGTCGAAAAATTTACAGCTAAATGTCACAGACATAGATTCTGGAATACTTGGTTTGGTTGGTTTGTTTCTTTATTGAACATAAAACATATACAGTAATAATTTGACAGAAAATAAGATAAATAAAAGAGGAAAGAGAAATCAGTCATCATTCAACACAGTTATTATGTTCAAGGGAGTAGGAAGAAGTAAAGAACTTATCTAGTCCTACCCCGTGTTATATGTTTATATCTATTGAATCATTTTTATATCAATCAGAAAAGAAGGAAAGTAAGAAGAAAGAAGTCTCCATTAAGGCTCATACTTTACCCTTAACCGTGATATTTTTATACTTTTGGTTTGTATCGGGATTTTATACATACACACCCTGGCACTCTTGTGTTAATTTTCTCTTGTATTCATAATGGATATTTCAAGACCTTTCTCTATTTATCAACTTAGTTCTGATTTATCATTATATTTAATGTTTAGAATTTATCATTTTAACTCTGATTGATGTAGGTAGTTTGCACTATTTTTTTGAATTTGTTTTTGAACTCAGCAAGCGATTTACTCATTTTCAGGTCCGTTTCGAAATTATTCCACAGATTAACACCTTTGATAGATACACTTCTTTGCTTGATGTTTGTTCTTGTTTTGAGTTTTTTGAATAAGTTGGTACCTCTTAAATCATAGCTGCTTTCTCGAATTTCGAAAAACTTCAGAATGTTTTGGCAGAGCAGGTTATTGTGTACTTTGTACATTAATTGGGCGATTTTAAAGTCAACCAGGTCATGAAATTTCATCGTATTTAATTTGATAAATAGTGGATTTGTGGGTTCCGTATGTTTCGATCTATTAATAAGTCGAATTGCTTTTTTTTCTAGTTTTAAAATAGGGAGTGTGTTTGTTTGCAGGCACACTGACCTGAAAGCTAAGATCATGGCGAGAATGAAAGCTGGGCAACCTAGAAACCGATTACAACGACTATGTGAAGTACCACCTGAAAGTCTCATGGAAAGTGTGAATGCAGCACTGAGGGTGATCCCAACCATAATGATCACGGAAACCAATGAGCTGATATACACTTCAGCATCAGTCATCCTAGAGATGCTTGGCTATAGGAGCAACCATGGGAGCCAAGAGACACGTTACCCACCATGGAAAAGACG